CGCCGCGTGGCCGTCCGGCGGGCCGCCGGCAGCGCCGCGTGGCTCGGCGTCGGGGAACTCAGGCCGGCCACCGGCAGCCGCGGGGGCGAGAAGCCGGGCAGCCCGAAGGGGTCTCCCTGGTGCTGCACCTGCGGAGACACGGCCGGCGGCGGGTCAGCGTTGTCCCCGCGGGGGGCCGTGGGGGTCGTCCATTCTTAACTGAGCCCTCTGCCCTCTCCCAGGGCGTCGGTTTCCTCCTCTTGGAAATGATAAACCCCTCCGACCAGGGTTGTTGTGTTTGAGATCACAAACAACAACGCAGGCATTACACCAGTGCCTTTGTTTCCGAAACGGAGCTAACAACAGTATCAACTTCACAAAGGCACTATGAGCACGTTAAGTGCTTAGGACAGGGCCTGGGTCCTAGGAGGGCTCAGTAAATGTTAGCTCTTTTATTAAGGTTATCTGTCGGGCCCGGGTTCAAATGCTGTCTCTACCACTTACGAGCTGTGTGGTTTTGGGCAAAACCATTTCTCTCCCCTGAGCCTCAGTCTTCTCATCTGCAAAATGGGGCAACAGCTCCCTGCCCTGTCTTCCTCCCAGTGATCTCACGAGATTCATGTAAGATAGTGACCCAGTCGATTTCACTCCCTCCCCCTATCCTCCCCAACCTTTCCTACCTGCATTGAGCACAGGCTCAATGAATAATTATTATATGAATGAACAAATGAAAGATAAAGGTGATTTGTATTCTATAAAATGCTGTAACAATAACATTCGTTCTTTGCTCTAACATCTTGCCTCTGGTCAGGCATTGTGTTTGCTACTTCAAACACTATTTCTAATCTTCCCAATAATGAGTGTAATGATGATGATGATGGTTTTGTAAATAAGAAAATTGGAGCTTAAGATATACAGTGACTTGCTCTAGGATACCATCGAGGAACTAGCAGAATTGGAATTTGAACCAATGTTGGTTAAGACTACAAAGTTAGTGCTTTCTATTATTCTGCTACCTGCTGGCGTAATTGTTATATTAATATTTTTAATGTGATCATTACTGCCCACAGTCACAGTTAGCAAGTTGGAAGGCCTACAGTCTGTCTGATTCAAAACTGAGCCCTCCCTCCACTACGCCAAGGTAATTTGGGAAAACATCTTCCTTCCTGGGCTGGGCCCTCTGCCTAACCAAAGATGTGAGCAGACCCCCCTCCTCTGTAAAAGTCCCCTCTTGGGATAGAATTTTCATCCCCGATTGAAAACTTTTTATGGCCTCTCTGCATATACTAGATAGAAAAGTTCACAGTCCATCCAGTTAAGCTGCTTCATTTTACAGCTGGGGAGATTGGAGATGACGTAACAAGATCACACAGAAGTAGAACCTAGGTTTCCTGACTCCCACACCAGTGTTCTCTTCACTCCCTCAGGCTGCCTCTGACTTAAAGCACCAAGGAGGGAGACTTCAAGCTGAGGAGTACAGAGTAGTATTTGGGGCACAGATAGGGTCTTCATCCAATTGGCTATGTGGCCAGGGGCGAGTCACTGTCCCTCTCAGGAGCCCTGCTTTCCTCAGCTGGGAAATGAGGTTGAGAAAATGCGTGGTCCAGGACCTTTGTGATCTGTGCATCCCCATTCCCCAGGCCCTTGGTGCCCCACCCACATTCCCACTCACATATTCCTGGAGCAGCTGCTCAGCATATTTGGTGAGGAGGTGGGCAAGGCTGTGTGTCTGACGGATCTTGGCCTCCAAGTGGGGAAGGAGTGAGACTGAGGAGTCAGCCTGGGGGTCTTCTGGTGGGAAAGGGGGGAGGAATGAAGGCAGCTCAAACCCCTGCTCCTTGACCACCTCTCCCAGGCTGGCTCTTCCTTTCTGAACCCAGAAGCTCTGCTTGATTCTCCAACTTTCAAGCCGGGCAGGGTCTGTCCCATTTCAACTGAGGGAAAATGAGGCAAGCAGTTGCTCTACCTGAAATGTGTTCCTTGTCCCCAAATCTTATTGAAATCCTATTAAAGCTGAATTCAAATACTGCCTCCTCAGTGCAGGCCTCCAGATTCCCCCTCCCTTAAGTGAACTTCTTTCGATTTAGGGCCACTTGTTCATACTTCCAAACTAGCTCTTCTACTGGTTCTTTTAAATGTGCATATCTCTGCCTTAGCCTGGAAGCCCTTTGAAGACATGGCTCACATACCTCTGTACCTCAGTTAATATTGGTGGAATTCAACTTCATTTTAAGCACAGAACTTCAAAGGAGAATGTGCCGTTATGGCCATTTTATAGATAGGGAGACTGAAGTCCCTTTCCCTCCCTCATGCCCCTTCTATGCAAAGTGCTGAGCTGCGCGGCACCGATGAATCAATCTAGCCTTCCCAGGCACAAGCCAGAATGTGGCGCCCCGGAGAACTACATTTCCCGAGAGGCCCAGCGCGCGCGCCCAGCGCATGCTGGGGAATGTAGTTCAGGTCCGGCAACTCCTGCCCCGCCTCCCGCCCCCCACCTGAGTTTCCCACCGTCAAGTCCCATTCCTCAGCAGCCCAACTTGTGTCTCCTGTTGTCACTCACTAGCTCAAAGACTCACTCCTGTGGCTCAAAGACTTTCTTCCCTAACTCTATCCCTAACTCCAACCCCCCAGCTTTGATTTTTTTCCCGATACTTAGAGTGGACCCAGTCTTCCTGCCCCAGCCCCGACCCCACTCCCCCTTCGAGGTGTACTCGCATCGGTGATCTAACCCCTGAGCCCAAGTCCCTGAAGCTTCAGCCCCAGGTCTCTTCTAAACCCACGCTCCTGCCCCTTTCTCACAACTCACCCGCTCGTTACCTGACACCAGAGCCCTGCTCTCCCCCGCCCAGGCCGCTCCCCTCCCGGACCCGAGATGGCGGAGACCCAGACCCCAACCCTTCTGACTCTTGCTGCCCTCACGGACCCGGAGTCCGGTCCCTCAGCCCCTTACCCAGACTTCCCTCCCTCCGGCTCATGCTGGCCCCTGGCTGATCCCGGTTCCCTCCACGCCCCCCTTCCGAGGGGGGAGAAGGGGAAAGGGTTAGGGGCGTGGCCCGGCCGCAGCCAATCAGAGCCCAGACCCCAAACATTCCCCCCCCCCCGCAACTTCCAGGCAAGATTCCTCGGCCCTGAGCTCAGCTCCCTGCCTGCTCTGCCCATAGGGGGAAGGGGCCTGAGGTGGGGGAGGCAGGTCGACTGCACGGTGGATGGGTCCTCGGGGCTGGGAGTGTTGGGACCAACAGTGTTATGTCCGGCTGGGATGAGGAGGCTCAGGCTTCGACCTGAGGCAAGGTTTGGCGCCTGGGCTGTTTGGAGGGGAAAGTTGGGGAGACAGGAGAGAAAAGCTGCGGGGCTGGCACGACAGGAATGTGCAGGCCCTCCCTTTTGGCTGGGGGAGAGTATGAGAGAGGCCATCGTGGGGGACCTCAGGCTTGTGGCACACCTGTCCAGACATACACCTCTTGGCCTTAGATACCTTCCACTCTCGTTGTCACACCTCCCAGAAGGGAGAAAGACACACCACCTCAGCCCCGCTTACCAGGCCCAGTAACAGAACCCCGCTGACACACACATGCATCTACTGAAGGGTTAATGCATACAGACAGTCTCACTTGGGAACAAACTTCAGAGACCTGTACAGGAGGTCACACCCATACATCAACCACGTTAACCTGGTGTAGACACTGAAAGGATTGTACACACTTACCCCTTCAAGTGGTTTCCAAGCACCTGTTCTGTTCTGGGCTCTGGTACAAAGATGATCCACACTTGGTTTCCGGCCCCCTGAGGAGCTCACAGTCTGATGGGGGAGATCGTAGTCAACAGCAGGTTATAGGGTTTGTGAGTGAAGGGATTGGGAAGGAGTCCTCTGTGTCTGTGAGGATATTGTCATGAGCAGACAACTGTCAGAATGAAGGAAGAAAGGGATTAGCTGGCACAGCAGGTGCAGCTGAAGTCACACTGTTGGTAGGAGTCACAATCACACACTTATTACAGTGAATATTTATTGGCTATTATGTGCTGGGCACTTTTCTAAAAACTATATACATATTAACTTACTCCTATGTTATAGATGAGGAAATAGAGATAAGGGATTTGTCCAAGGTCACACAGCTGGGTGTGGCAGAGCTGGGATTTTACGTCAGCAGTTTGACTCCAGAAATGCTGTCATAACCACTCTAATCTTTTAACCCCTCTGGACATGGTCACACCAAAACTCACAAACACAACAGCCACACCCTTGAAACACACACACACACTCACACATACACAAATGGCAGCAGCAGCACAAATTTAGGTATCTGCTGCCAAGCCAGCCTCAAATAAAATCAACTAAGACACACTCATTTTCTTTAAGTAAACTTTTAATTGACATATAATACACAATCGGAAAAGTACACACATCATAAGTGTACATGCAGCTTGATGAATTTTTACAGAGTAAATATGCCCAAGGAATCAGCACCAGATTAAGAAACAGAAATGACCAGCTCCTAGAGGCCCCCCTCTTATCCCCTTCCCAGTCGTAAGGGTGACCACTATCCTGACATCTCACACCATAAAATGAGACCAAGCATCCCTGGCTGCTACAGGAGTGTAGTTAAGAAACAACCTTACTTTGAGCGGGAGGAACGACGATATTGTCTCTTTTTGAACTTAATATAAATAGAGCACAAGGTCAAAGGTTTGGATCTGGAAAGCTACAGGAAAAAACAAAACAAAACACCATAAATGGAGTAATATAGTGTGTACTGTTGTATCACTGTATCTTGCTTCTTTTGGTCAAGATTTGTTCATGAAACTTGTCCACGGTGTTGGGTATAGCAGATCAGTCATTCTCGTTGCAGCATCTATGTCCATGGTATGAACAGGCTATAATTCATTTTCCGTTCTGTTGATGGGGTATTTCCAATGTGGAGCTTTTATGAACAGTGCTATGAACATTCTAGTATACGTCTCTTGGTGCTCATACCTACGCATTTCTGTTGGGTGTTGACGACCTAGGAGTGGAACTGCTGGATAATAGGGTTGGCATATGTTGGCCTTTGCTAGAAAACTGCCGTTTTCCAAAGCTTCTCTACCAGTTCATACTTCCCCAGAAATATGAGAGGTCCAGTTGCTCCACTTCCTTGTCTACACTTGGTACTTTCTCACTTTAGCAATTCTGGTGGGTGAAGACCCACTCGTATTGGCAGTGTCTGGCACCTAATTGGCACTCAGTTAATCGTTGAATGAAAGGATGAATGAGGTTGGGCAGCATAGAATCAGACAGCCTGGCGGGGTGGACACACACAACACTTGGACCACACAGCATTTCAAGGACGCCCACCTGCAGCGGACGAACACCCAACACAGACCCTCTCGTGCACCCCGGGGCCCACGTGGTCTGAACGCACCGCCTCGGCGGGGCCGCGCGCGTCCAGTCGCTGAGCCGCCCCCAACTCTCCCCCTCGGCGGCGGGCAGGGGGCGCTGCG